TATATTTAATTTTGAGTAAAAAGCTATACAAAATTAAGAAAAGTGTTTGACACAAATCACAAAATAAATAACTTCATTGTTCATTAGCAAATTCCAGTAGTTCCTCTTCATACAATTCCAAATAATCGCACGTTTCATTTTCATTTGGTAAGTTGTCACCTAGTCTTAATTCATCAGCTGAACCATTGAAAATATTATGGTACAACATGTTTGAAATATATGTAATATTTTTCAAGTGACTTAATACACAATAATTTTCAGTTTAAACACAAGAAGTAAAAAAAAGGAACATACGACATTTTGACACTTTCACTCATTTGACATTCAAAAGTATTACTGCTGTCAACAACTCCAATTCTTTCTTTTGAATTGTTTGGTGCTGTCAACTTGGTCCTGGTGTGTTGATCTGAAGCAATTCTTGAATCATAATAAGCACAAAATTCTTTCAATACTCTTTCAGCACTTTTCACGTTAACATATAAACGCCATTAGTTATCAATAAATCTTGACACCATGGCTCCTCTTTCAAAAGAAGCAATAATATTTTTGTGTGTCAATGCCAAATCCATTGAATTGAGTATTTCTTTCACATTTCTTAAAAGACTATCTCCATTTTCGCTCTCTTTCATTGTTTAACCACATCATTTGACGTGTTTGTTGAATGTACAATTTCACACAACGACTCTTTCATTGCTTCTCCGAATTGTGAAAAACAAGAATCATCTGGTTGGTGATTTGCAATTGTAAATGAGCTCATGCCCCACGGTTGTTCGTTTGCAGCAATTTGCGTCGTAAATAACGTAGTTGATGATGACTTTCCATGTTTCACACAGCCGAATAAACACGGGTCCAATGGCTGGACAAGTGAGAAATGTATGGTACATAAAAGTGAATCTTAATATTGTTTGCTTCACAGATTGGGTTTAAAACAGCCAAATCATGGCCACTAAACCCATCCATGGTAATAAGAGACTATGTTTTGATGTCGAACCCATATTTGATTTTAGTCGCTGTGATTGCTGGTACAACTCTATCACAAAACCAACGCGTAAAAAATATCTTTCGTTGCGAACCCACTTTCTAAACTATAGAAACTGACATTACAGTTTAGTTTTAATGGTTCAATTGGAATGTTTTTTTTGTACAAACAACGGCTCCGGGACAATAAAATTTGTCCAGATAACGATATCATACACATAAATGTCGTCCTTTTTTTATTACGACTGTAACCAAGTTTTACTCTTTCAATGTCAACATTTTTTAAAACAAGAACTTTCACTCTTTTCCTGTCAGCGTAGTCATCAAATTCCACCTCTTCTATATTGAATATAAGTTGCATGGGAGTACCATTGTAGGCTGCAAGTTTCAAATAATTATCAAAATGTCACCAGGTGAATCG